AAGACTAAGCCCTAGGCGGCACTAGCCGGGGAGGAGAACCCTGGGTACCTGAAATTTCGTTTCTGAAGTTTCCTGCCCCTTCTAGGCTTAGTTCTAGAAGATGCCGCTTATCCTGCGATAACGCCTCAAAACGTGTTGATGACCGGTGGGTGAGCATTTGATAAAATTGCGTTGCGCATTGTGGGTGATGGACCGAGTGGAGAAGGAAGGCCTCGAGAGCAAGGTACTGAAAACTGGCCTGCCACTTCAAGCAGACATGGAGCAAGCCCACTGAAATAGTGTTGTAGTGCGCCGAAGAGGTACTGGGACGAGACGCGAGGTGGAATCAGAGGAGACAAGGCAGCGTGGTTCTGGAACGAGGAGTCCAGCGAGTCGTGAAGAAGGAAGCATACAAGCGCTGGCAGAAGACCCGGAGCCCTGAGGACCTCGCTGGTTACAGGAGTTGCAAGGGACTTACCAAGAATACAGAGCTAGACGCCTTGTACGGGAAGCTGGAGAGCTAAAACGCAGAAAAGTTCGTCTTATATACTGGCTAAAGCTCGGCACCGAGCTGCTCAGGGTATCAGGGTGGATGAAGAGTGTAAAGAAAACTTCGGCACCTTCCTAATGAAGTTAGGCGAAGTCAAAAGGATCAGGGAAGAGTAGGGTTCACCACAGAATGAGGAGTTCCCGCCCAATGGCAACATGCAAGCAGAGGCACCGCTGGTTTGAAAGAGTGCGCGTGGAAAAAATTTTTCAAAAGGGAGGGCATTTCGGTGTTCACGTCCGACTGTAAAGATGTTTTATTCTCCCTATCACTGAATTCAGGTCTGTGGTAATGTTCTCGTTGAGGATGTGGTTTTAAAGCATTAAAAACAACAAATTTGCGAAATTCTTAGTTGAACTTTCTTCCTAAAATCAAAATGCCTTTATTTCCAGGTTATCAAGGGATGGGATCTAGGGCTCATGAATATGTGTGTTGGCGAGCGTCGAATTCTTGTCGTTCCTCCTCATTTGGCGTACGGAGGCCGTCCTTCGCACCCAAAAGTACCAGGTACCGAATTTCCTTTTTGGGTGATTGATGTGCTGCTCTTCGCAGCAGGGTGATTAACGAAGGAATCCTGGGCAGGGGGTCGTATTTGCGCCGAACGGATGGGAGGGAACGTAAGCGCAAGGCTCAACAGCGGACAGAACGATTTACAAGTGTTGTAGTGCACGTAATGCAAATGATATCGTACAACTGTCTGGAATTAACTTCCAATGGAAAGTGGTTTTTGGTGTGGATCTTTGTGATCACGACGCATAAAAAGGAACGCGTCGTGCAGAAAGATCGTAAGAAATGGGAAACAACTATCTACTATCCACTCTAAATTAATGTACAGACTAGGACAACCTAACAGAGGAACAGTATACTATTGAAAAGGCAATGCGGGTTTTTGACTTCTATTTTCAACGAGGCATAATTCCACTTAAATCCAACATTTTGGTCGCAACAAAAACCATTGGAAAGTGCTGATTTTTTCTAATAAGATGCATACTTGAATGCATTTCCCTCATGTAGATCAGCGCTTCTGGAGGAGATGATATGGCGATGATTCTCTCATTCTCAAATGTGGACGAAGCACTTCTTACTCCAGAAGTTGTCGAGATGGTTGAAAAGGGGGTATTGATGATGAAGTTGTCCAGTGAGTACGATGTGTGGAGCGAAGCTTCGTACGCTAGTTCGTTCAATACTTGCGAGGTTGTTTATGGGATGCTGTGGTTGAGAGCCACCATGGGCCGATACTAGTAGGGTTTACTTGCTCCCGATTGACGAATGGCTTCGTCCAGTCGCACAAGTCCAGTTTTCCGTTGTAGGTGTCAACGCATTCCAAATTATGGTAGTTGTTGATACGTGAAATGGGTGGAAACAACACCCTAAAGAACGGTTCCGCTGCTGCACAGTCAGCTCATGCGGATCCTCAATTGTTCAGGCTTTCTTCACCTACTCACCGATACATGTTATCCTCTCGGAACCATATATTTCCCTCATAGTCCTGAGCTCAGTTCTCCTTCGGGGAATCTTTCAGAATAGCTGTCGTCGCAACAGCACAAGCATGCTGCACGAACTCCCCGCTGCATCGTTTGCAACTATGGAGTTCTTCTCGAACCAACAACTATGGTCATTTCTGTAGCCACCACTATGCTGCTTCTTCTTTGGTTGGCTCTCTTGGCACCATCTGTAATAAGTGTTGTTTCGACGGTCTATAAGAGCACTGCCTTAAGAATTATTCATGAGCTAGGCCAGAAAGAAAACACGAGCACTTCAACACCACTTTGTCTTAGACACCTTCCAAGGTTCAAATCGCCTATTGATAAAACCCCAAGCAACAAAGGATGCCAAGACTGCGAGAAAGTTGCACTTTAGGCTAAAAGGAAAAGATCAAAATGGAACCAGCTTGCCAATGATATAGGGCTTCAGGTCACAAAGGAAATTTCAGTGCAAAAATATTCTGAATACGCGTGACATCTCAAAACCCACATTACTTTCCAAATCCTAAGAAAGCTCAGTGTAACGCGAAGATCTGGCAGCCTTTTGGCGTTAATACCAATTACTTCAAATGAGATCATCGCATGCCGCATACCAGGGCGGAGTGGACCCCCGCCGAGTGTATCGCTTCCTATTTATTTCACTGAGACGACATGTTCCAGAACCATTTGTAGGGTTTCTGAAAAAGTTCCTCGGTACGGCAAGAAGGTTACGATCTTCCAAATAGTGAGAGCTCGCATGTAAATTTCATTTTCCTAGACAAGTCCTCGAACGTATGCAACTCTCGAGGTAACGGCCTGAAGAAAAGATCTATACAATTTGGGAACTAGAGGTCCCGTGCTTACGGAATCTGCCTTCCGTTTCTGAAGTGGTTGTCAATGAAGAAAGTTATAGGCTTCAAATCAGGCGATGTGACTCGCGACTTCTTTTAACTAACAGCTTGGCGGAGCCGTAATTAAGAACATCGAGGGCGGTAGTGAAGAGACGACGCCAGAAGCGCTCACAAGGCACAGCGGCGACGTGACCCCGGCGGGTAAAATAGTATCCTCACGCCATACCCCTGGAGCCTGACTGTGTTCCACAGCCCCTGGCAGGCGGTCCTTTCGCCCCCCTTTGTGTACTTTCCGCGTTCTTACTGTAGTGGAATCGCTCTTCCCTGTTTTTTTTTTGCTTTCGTATTTTCGCCAATTGCTCGATTCCAGCTTACGGTCCGAGAGATCTTTTGATTTCGACCAGTTCTCTCTTGTTCATTTCCCTTTTTGGTCGCATGCGTTGCAAATGCGTAATGCAAAGTCGCCGTAAGAATGCTGAATTATGGGCGGAATCCACAGGCAGAACTTGAACCTGAAAACAGGCTACAATTTGCCTCAGTGAGTACTATACCCAGCACTCAGCCACCTTAATAAAAAGATTCTATGATTTGCAGGATTTCCACCACGTAGAACAGCATTAGTCCTTCGATTTCACTAGCCTGCGCAAGAATAGATTCAGGATTTGACCGCGGGACGTTGGTGTGGCAGTGGTTTTGCCTCCACCTCGCACACTAACTATACTGCTATGAAACTGGATGTGCGGAGGAAGAGGGGTCGCGTAGGAGCCCCTTTAAGGGAGAGGGGTCATAAAGACGCGACCATTTATTCGACACAATTCTCACCCTTCACCGCAGTGTACTTCCTCAAAGAATACTAACATTGTGACCAGTCCTGCCTTCCACTCCTTCCTATCTTTGAGAGACCATCATGCTAGGTTGAAAATTGTGCTGAGAGGATTGTATCCTACTGATCGATTCTGAATGAACACATCTTATCCTCTAATTTTCTAGTCTCCCATGGCACTTGCCTAATTTTCAAAATCGTGTAGGACGATGCGGCTAATAATAAGGTGTGCTTTTGAATTGAAGTTGGATTTTATGTGGAAAGATAGCTCATTGGAAGATAGACGTGGTCAATGAAACAGGGATGAAGAAGAAACCATGCGAAACGGCCCAGAACCCGAGAAATGGGACCCCTTCCTTGCCCGTTGATTTCGCATTGATGCGACTCTCATCGCTGTGCCCTCTTCAACGCTACGCTCTCTCTGCTATCTAATCACTCGCCACGTATAGACCTGCGGCGAGTGATTAGATAGTCGGTGGGCGTTCCCGCCAACTGCGCAAAGGGAAGGCCATGCTAGATCGCCGAGGCATATCTTTCGATGCGAATTGCGTGTTGTCCGCACCCTCAGAGGTCCGCCTGTCTCTCCACTAGGTAAGTTTCCCCTTCTTTGAGCTACCTTCTCATCTCGGAAATATACTTTACGACGAAGCTTCAGAGACCGGCCTCAGCTGTGGCTCTCGACCAGTTTCGAGAATTTCACAAATCCCACCGCAGTCCCCCCTGTAGTAGTCATGTGTTTGAATGTGTTTTTTTCCTGTTTTTTTTTCCTTAAAACCAGTAAGTGCTCATTTGCTGCGTCACGGCTCTGGCATTTTAGCGTTGCCGTTTCTCATGTGCACTAGAAAAGAGGAACTTGTGAATTGACCTCCCTCAAACGAGCGTAGCTCCATCCAAAATTGATTTTTTATGGAGCCCCGAGCAGATTTGGGATCTACATGACCTCCGCTTTTAGAGTTCTTCCATGTTTTCCTCAGAGGATCTGAATTCTCCTGCTATTAGTTGTCAAACTGAGAACATGCGCACTGTATGCTTTTAGCTTTTTTGGCTCTATCTTTCCTAACATGTAAGATGCGAGCTCGAGAGACTGGTGAGGATGATGAGATAAACTCAGCTGCTTCGTCTTTAACGAACAGCTAAACTTTTCTGAACTTCACCTATCCGATACACTCTGCATCTGGATCTTTTTCGCACAAACGTGGGTTTTCTAGCTAATACAACATAACTCTACCTACCATTAATGGTCAATTGTTCGGTCTGGTCATATAAAGTGAAGTGTAGTCCGATGTTTGCGTCTTGCGACGTTGAATTTAATACCTGGTTTCAATTCCTGCGGAACGATTCCCGAGAAGTTGACGAAGAAATCTTCTCATTATGGCGTCCTCTACATTCCCTCGGTTGGGACAATAAAAGCCGGAGAGCAGCTGTGTCAGCGGTCCTGACGGTGTAATGGATAGCTTCAGACACATACTACATCTTACTTCATACATATGAGGAAAGTCATATGTTCGATTTCTTGGCTAAAGTTTTGCTTTTTTCCTCAGCACTTCTCGAACGAGCCCAGAAACTGCTTACACTATTTGCTTTTGTTTATTGCTGCTTAACTGCTGTGTTCGGCAGTGGTTCGCCTAGCAATATTTCACAAGAGTAGTGGAGTTATGAGCAAAGCTCCTCCCGGGTGGAATTCAAACCCGCATTTCTCGTTTAACGGGTGAATGCGCTACAAGTTATGGTACCTGGGCAAGATAGGAGAGAGCGCACTCCCTCAACCTGCGATGCACCGATGGTTTGCTTCGTAAGAGTTGGCTTTTTTATTTGAAAAAGTTCATTCCAATTCCTCTATGCCCTTTCCAAACGATGACAAAATATGTAGACAGACAAACCATTCTGTATGAGGGCGCTTGTGGTGCAACAAGATGACGTTATTGAGAGATTTCCAAAGGTTTGGAAAGGTGGAGGTTGTTTCTCACATGCTCTGAGACCGAATCAGCTCCAGAGACCGTCCGGCATCATCACGTTCCTGTAGGTTTTCTATGGTTCCTTCAGTTGACGGTCTTGCATATTTATCGTTGATGGGAAGGGGATGCCGTGTGCTGAAAAATCTGCTAAAAAATAAAAAAAGGCAAAAGCCAACTTCAAACGATTAGTACGTTCTGGCAGTGAAAGCCTGACCTCCTCCGTTGCAGAACAGAGAGTCCAGAACTCAAAGTGGTGTTGCTTCCACGTATTGTCTAGAAGAACTACAAAAAAAAAATCAGGAAAAGGAGTGTATTAGTGAAAAAATTGGGTAGCAAGGTTTTAAGGCGCGCGCTCGTAAGGAATGCCCCGTCCGGTCTGCAATGTCTGACTCGCGTCATGCTGTTTTCAATGTGTTAAAATTGGAAATGATCATCTAACGCATAAATTGTTGGGAGACTTTGTAAAATTTTTGACTATGAACTTGTGTTTTTGTGGCTTTCCTTCGAATGCGCTGAAAAGGATTCCTGTAGTTGCGCTATCACAAATATGATTGATTCGGGGGGCCGAAGTTTTTCTCAGTTCGCATGACTTCGTCTTGGCATTTCTACGTGAAGACAGTTTTAGTAAATGCTCACCTTGAAATTCCCGACATCGAACTGTTGAAAGGATAATCGTAAAGAAGAGCTGTAAGGTGTTTATCTCAATGCAAATGCAATTTTAGTGATTGTATGTAACCTTGTAATGTGGAGATCCTATAATTTATGACTTATTTATTGAATTCTTATCAAAGCGGTGTCACATCACTCCTTTTCTGCAGTTGTTCATTCGCTAATCGAAAATCTTCTCCACAGTTCTGTGAGTTGAATAAGATATTGAAAATAAGATATTGTTGAATGTTTTGCGATATTATGTCCTGTTCTTTCTATCGGTTCTGTGCTTTACCTTCACGGGATGGAGATATAAATCGATTCATACGTCTGGCGTTTGTCAGCTAGCTAAATACTGAATAGTAAGCAGTACAGTATAAATAGTATAGAACAGAAGCCAAATACTGAACACATACATTTGTTACA